TTTGGCGCTCACAACCATCTGATCCAGTAAAAACTTATTTACTCATTACAGTCACTTATGGCCTGGTCAGCTCGCCATATTTGGCTACTCGTGTTCTTCAACAGCTGGCAATGGATAGTATTTATTCACATCCAAGAGCCACCAAAATTATCTCAGAAGAGTTCTATGTTGACGATTGTCTCTCTGGTGCTCACTCTCTTTTGAAAGCACAGCAAAAGGGCGCTGAACTTCTAGATTTAGCTCAATCAGGCGGTTTTCCTCTGAGAAAATGGTCTCCTAACTCGGCGAAAGTACTCTCAAAGATCCCTGATAAGTTTAAGATTAGCAAGCCCAAAGAATTTAAAGACTATGATCAAACGGTCTCTGTTCTTGGCTTGTCTTGGAATCCCAAAAATGATGAATTTCAATTTCAATTGGTCGTTGATCCTAGTCCTCAGTCTTGGACGAGACGATCATTATTGAGACAGTTGGCGAAGATCTTTGACCCTTTGGGATGGTTTTCNTGCAAGTATTGTTTGCGTTAATTATATAAGTATTTAATTTAGAGATTTTCTACTATTTTATTACAATATTTATTTAAACAATTTGTACTGTTAAGAGCTAGCTTGATTGTCACTGCCAGGTGAGGTTAACCCCTTGCAATGGAGTCGTATTATTCAACTCAGCTCAGCCTTTTTACCAAGATTAAAAACGCTTTTCTTAATTTTAGAAAGCTTGGCACCACAAAAATGACAAGGGGTCAAGCTGTGTCGTGACTGCAGCAAGTTAAAGATGCGTTCGAGCAGTTTAAGTTGATTAGTGCTGCTATTTTTCAGTTACAATCTCTTGGTAGGGACCATGATTATTTTAAAAATGGGTTATATCAGACTGCTGAAGATCAATATTATTCGGTTGTTGGAGATTTTGAGGACCACCTACATTTACTTTCCATCAACAATCCTGGTACAGCTCCACCCATTTAAAACCCCGCTCCAAATCACAATAACTTCCAAAGTTATTCTTTTTTGCCATCAATTGATCTCCCAATCTTTGATGGTAAACTAAAGTGTTGGGAAAACTTCCGGGACGTATTCAGATCCCTGGTGCATAGGAAGCAGGATCTCCCTGGAGTAATTAAATACCAGCATCTACGTACTCACGTTAGTGATGATGGATCAGATCTTATAAAGAATATTCCTCTCACAGAGAAAAATTATACACAGGCCTGGGAGACTCTCCTTGCCTTCTACGACAACCAGCGTCGATTAGTGTCCTCATATACCAGCAACATTATCGGTGCCCAAACCATGAAAAATTCTTCTTGCATTGAAATGAAGCGCATTTCTAAGGAGATGTTAGGTACCTTTGATTCTTTGTCAGCCATGGGAAGACACATGGGTGACAATGACATTTTCATTGCTCTCGTGACTAGCAAATTTGATTTCCACACCAATAAAGATTGGCAGAAGCATCTGGGGAGTAGTAGTAATGCGCCTACGCTAGGACAACTACATGAGTTCATAACAGCCCAAATTATAACTTTAGAAGCTTCTGCTAGAAAAAACCCGAATAATCCGGACCAAAGGAGCAAACCTAATAAGTCAGTTGTAGTACATAAAACTGCAGCTCATTCTTCTGAAACAAATACACCTATTAAGTCAGTTGTAGTGCATCAAATTGCAGCTCATTCTTCTGAAACCAATACACCAAAATGCTTGTTCTGTAATCAAACTCATAAGTTGTACCAATGTGACAGTTTTAAATCAAAGCCTTGAAATGAAAAAAAGAGTTTTGTTGAAAGCAAAAGAATTTGTCTTAATTGTTTTGGTAAACATAGTTCAAATAAGTGCACATCAAAATTTATTTACTTTAAATGTCATCAAAGGCATAACACATTGATGCATAAAAATTAGTTTGATTCTCACAAGGGCAAACCTAATAATGAAAAGAATAACGAGAATCCTGATCCTAAAAACAGGTCATGTCTTAATGTCGGTATTGCTTCGGAAGTGAACTTTCCCAGAGCACCCAGCGTTTTTCTTGCCACTGTAGTGATATACATTGTTGATTCTAATGGTTAGAGTCTCAAAGTGAGAGCATTAATTGATCAATGCTCGCAATCATCTCTTGTCTCCAAATCTCTTTATGACTTATTGAATTTTAAGAGTCGCAGTACCATCATCTCGTTGTCTGGTATAGGAGACCAAGCTGTAAATGTAAAACAGTCAGTTCAATTCAAAATTCAACCTCATTTTGAATCCAATTTTAGTTTGGAAGTTGAAGCTTTGGTAGTGCCTTAGGTCACTTTTTATAAACCTCCAGTTTGTCGTGAGGTAATAAACTTAAGCCATATAAAGGGTCTGCAATTGGCTGATCCCAATTTTTTGGGTTTGGATAAAATAGATTTATTACTGGATATATCTGTTCATGCTGCAATAATAAATAATTTTGTTAAAAGAGGTGAAGCTGGTCAACCCATAGCTTCATCTTCCAAACTAGGTTGGCTACTGTCCGGCCCAAATATTAATGTAGACCGCTTGTCTACTTACAAGGATTATTATATAATAATAATATGAACAAAATTTTAAATTGGGCTTAATAACTAGGTATTACATTTAAAATTTAATCAATTCAAACTAATATGCTCCCCTTTTTTTTCATATAATCAACATTAAGAGTCCTAGGGGTTTTCTTGA